TCCATTTTATAAACGCTACCCTTTAAGTAATTGTCCCTGTTAACAGCCTATACCTTTCAGCAGCCCTCACTGCGCTATAAATAATCTCGATGAAGATGCAAGGATATGACTTTCACAAGATTGGACAATTGATTCAATCTGTGACCCGCGATCGCGAATAATATTGGAAGGCTATTTAAACAGATGAAGGCCTAAATTGTCTTGCTTGTATCTGAATTAATTTCTCATTCATCATCATTATGAAGTGATTGGTCTATTCAAGCTCTTCAGCCTGCTGGAACGGAGCGGGATTTAAATGAGATTGTAACACAATTTAAATGCTTGCCGACTTTAACGAGGCCAATTGAGCAGCTGCAATAAATACAAATATTTTTCTAAACAGCCTTGTTTTAAATAATTACTTAATGCTTTCATGTTATTTTTAAGTGGCAATCTTTCTCCTGCTCCTGCTCAGAATATCGCATACTTATTTGCTGAGAAGACCATTTTGGAAACGACTTTGTGTTTTTGTTTGTTTTGTAGATGGTAGGGTTCATTTTGCGGCTGGGTTTTGTTTTGTTTTTTCTTAGGATCAACATTTCTAGAGTCCCATAAGCTGGCACAAATGGTGGAGTTGGACCTTCGTTTTACCCCATTGCAGTCTAATGTGCCTGACCCTGCAGAGTAGGGGAGGAGCTGAGTGACTGATGGAAGAAATTTGTCGATGCATCTAGTCACTGATCCAGGCCTGTTTTAGCTGGGTTCTGCAAACGAATCCATGCAATTGCACTTACAAATGACACCCTGAAGAGTGGCACCGTTTCTGATTTGTCCTGATGACTGTCATCATCTTGAACAAATCAGGATTCCAGCATATCCCAAAGGCATCCCTTATAAAGTTCAATCTTTGAGCAGTTTGACTCACCTGCAAGTTGACAGGAGTGGTGGGGATGGGCTGAGGATTTCTTTGTTAGGGAACTGCACAGAAAGAGAACTCCCCCTAAACGAATGGTTTGGGAGATGGGAGAATGGAGGAGATAATTAAAAAATTTTTTTTTGTCTTGACGTTCTTTACACACACACACACACAGAGAGAGAGAGAGAGAGAGAGAGAGAGAGAGAGAGAGAGAGACTCCAACTTCTCCCTTTACCACTCAGGGGTGATGGTGCATGGAGAGGATACTAAGAAAGCAAAGCTCTTCTCACTTGGAGAATGCTATCCAACCAGACATCTTCAGCAACTGTCCTCTATGACACCCATGCTCTCCGGTGGACATATGGCGACGGGTGTTTCCTCGTTTGGGGAATAATGGAAGCAATCAAGCGGGAAAAACCTAAGGAACAAAAGAATCTTTTAAACTTTCATGAAAGCGTTGGGGGTGGGGGGGAACCACTGTAAGCTCCCATTTGGAGTGGCTGTCAAAGGCTGTGTCCCTTTTGAAGGGCTCAGGTGAGAGTGTGCATCCTGAATCTCTTCTCCCTTTGCTTCAAATAAGGAAGTGGACTTCATGCCTGAGGTTTTTGGGTGCAGGACTGCAGCCTTTAGGTGAAGTCAACATAGTCACTAGAAAAACCATTCGTGGGACATACCATGAGATCAAACTGCAGGCTAAGGGAAAAAAATGGGATAAGGATGGAAGAACCAAGTGATTTGCTATGTAACTGGGCAATTTAATGCCAGAGTTAGGGAGCTGCCTGCCGGAATCATTTCGTCTTGAGGGCTCTGCCGAGCTCATCCGCTTTATCCTGTTGTTTAAAATGAGCATTATCCCAAACATATGCAATGCAATCAGTTTGGTCACACTTACAAGAACACGCTTTAATAAGGCAATCAATCACAGGCTAACAAGCGGGCGACGGCCCCAGCCCTGCGCAAACTTGGGCTGAGGAGCTGCTAGTCTTGCCGGCCTACGTTAACCCCGGCTGGGCACTGGATGGCATTCCCAAGCCACAACGGCCTGGCGAGGATTGAGGAGTTGTGGGAAAATGTGGGTGGAGAATGAAGTGTCAGAGTTAGCTGATGGTGACTTCAGACACTGAGACCCTAAACGGGTGAGCAACGAGGAAGCAGGAACCCGAAGCACATACTGCATTGTCACTATTAAGCTGTGCAAGAACTGGAAACTCTGTTTTTACACCTGAAAGATGGGACCCAGGAGGGGCACAGCTAAGAGGACACACTCCTGAAGGTGGAAAAGCAAAAACAATACCCAGTCGCAGACCCTGTTGCCTGGTCTCAGCCTTCTCATTTTACAGAGAGAGATTGTGGCTGTGGATGGGGCGGTTCCTTCTTCAGGGTTATCTCTCACTCTCCCAGCCAAGATGGGCGTGTCAGGCCAGATGGAGATGCTTGGTGCGGGTGGGCTAAGCAAGATGGGGCGGGGGAGGAGGTAAACAAGTGTAAGAAGTGGTGCCTAACGCCAAACCGCAAACCTTGGCAAAAGGGAAATTTCATTATGAAGTAATGAGTAATTCCTCCTGGCAAGATGTATTGTTATATCTTCCACTTCAATTTGGAGGAAGAGAGGCTCAATTACCCAGAAAATACAGTCAATTAAAGGCTGCTGATTGGACACGAGGCCGGATCATCGATCTTGTACTTTCCAATATCGCTGCAGACACCTCATTTTCCCTCCCTATTAACTGAAAATACGCCTGGCATTAAGGCAACCCGCAGCCCATTTACCTGTCGCAAGCAATCTCTGCCCAACGCGGAGCAACCGCGAAATTTGCAGGGATTTGGCACTTGGGAGCTTCCGGCTGCCAAGGGAGTGGGGTGGAGCGCTGTTGGGGGGTGCGGATGCTGGAAACCTCTGCTCAAGGCTTCGCTGGGGAGGGCCAGAGCCACTGTAGGCAGGACTGACTCTGGAGCCTCAGGAGCGAGGAGGAAGGTTGAGGAACCCCCATCTGCCACCAAAGTCATGACAGAAATAATCCTCTGCGTCCATGCTCTTTAGGTTCCCTGTAGGCACCCTCTCTCCCCTGCTTGAGTGAGACTTCAAGTGTAGCCAGCTTGGCTCTGGTGGGAGTGGAGGGCTGGTAAGCCCTGCCTGTCCCCCAATTGTCCCATAATTGCATCGTCCAGATGACTTATAGTCTGAGGATAATTCAGACACCAAGACCACCCCATCTCTCCTATAGCTTTGTCCCTACCTTCAGAGGCAGACCCTGCCTACCAGCAAAATGAAGCTCTCTGCAGTACTCACATGCACTGCCATTGCCCCACTTGCCTCACCTTGTGTTGGGTGGAAGCAGGTCACAGGGAGACTGCAGCATGGGGTCCTCATTCCTCAAAGAATTGGAGCAACTGGGGAAGGACCCATCCATTAGAAGTAAGCCCCAGGTGTGGTCAGCACTTTGGGGATCAGCTTGCCCATGGAGGGCCCCCAGCATTCTTGGAATCAAGTAAACATGCACCCCAGGGCTGCTAGAAACCTGCCTTCGCCTCCCTGCAAACAGTTTCTGTTTGGAGTCACCAATGCCCCACAGGAGCTTAGAAGACTTATTTGTGAACCCTTCTCTTTCCCTACCCAAGCCCATAGTGACTGAACTAGCAATTCAAAAAGAGTCAGTGTGCTACCTGCTACAAAAAAGAAAAAAAAAAAAGTTGCATGCTAAGTGAGAATCATGTCCAGCTTTTATTGCAATATGGTTAACAAATTATAACAACAAAGTCTTTGGGCTTTAAAGGAAAATCCCAAACCAAACCAATTTCATTCCCTATAGGGAGAACCACTTCCTCCCAGTGGGGGGTGAAGCTTGCATTGGAAAGTAAAAGTTCTTCTCTACCTCAAAAACCAGTTGCAAGAATGAGTGTGAGAGTGAGGGTTCTGGAGTGGCTCCCAAATAAACCCTGGTGAAGGGTACAGACAGGAACACCTTTTAGGGGCAGAAGGCTCCCAGTTGTTATCTGAAAGTCAAGCCCCTGTGGCAACTTTGGAGAAAATGAGAGGATGTAAAATGCCAAATGCAAAGGTATTGGCCAGAAAGCTCCTGGTTACATGAAGGTGAACAGGTAATGGATGAAAATAACTTCTAATTTGTCACCAGAAACCGAGGAAGGTGAAGTCCCCACTCCCTAAGCTCTTCCCTGGGTGCCTTGTTAACAGCTCAGCTCTGGGCTTGGTAGCCAGCCCATGGTGATCATTATTATACATACATTCAACATTCAAAAACCCTCCTTGCACACATCACTTGCTAATCAGTGTGTGGGGGTTCTGGGAGAAGAGGCTTGGCCTCATAGAAGCTGCCCAGGGGCCCTGGGGCATCTGCAGCTTCCCTGCCAACGTCAAACAAAAAAGGGGAGGGGGCTGCGCTGGGCTAGAGTTTCAAGTTGAGATGTGTCAGAAAGCAGGGGAATGAGGAAAGAGATCAGGTGCTGGTAGGAACCAGAAGATGCTGCGTAACTGAGGCTCCAGGAGGGTGTGAAACCTCCAGAATCCGTGCCAAGGGCATGGTTCTCCCTGGCAGTAAATCATCTCTCACTCTCTCTCCCCTCAAAGACTGGTGTGTTGCCATCCTCAAACCCTTTGCTATGCCTTGGAAAAGCTGGTCAAGATTAATCTCTACCTGCTCTGCATACACAGCATTTTGTTCAAAGAGACAGCAATTTCCCCTTCCAGTGCTTAGCCTTGGCAGAAGAGAGAGGGCCCAGGTGAGGAAGGAGTGCGAGATGGGGGCGATGCAAAGGGTCCGGATACGCTGTTGCTGCTAAGTTTTGTTTAGCTGTTGAGCCGTGGCCTCAACCTCTGTCAAAGGTGGTGGTAGCGGTGAAAAGCAGCAAAGAGAGGCCACCCTAAAGGAAGCTCTCCTAATCTCTCCTTTCCCGTCCCCCCTCTGCTCTTCAAACACGCCAGCCACTGCCGCTTCCTGGGCGTCCCCATCCTAGAGGCCGAGTCCCGCTTGTCGTTCGCGGCCCTCTCCTTTCCCTTCAGTTTCTTGAGGACAGGAGAGGCACTGGCTGAGTCCCCGGGAGGGGGCCCCCACGGGCGTCCTGGAGCTGGCAGCCCGCGGGCGACCCCTTATCTGGTGAGGGGCACCTCCTCCCTCTGGTCCAAAGCGACAGAGGAAGCCTTGCTCAGCACCGAGGGAGCGAAGGTGAGGAAGGAGTCCGAGCGGGAGGTGGAGGCACAAGTGAAGTCCGAAGCGGCGGCAGCCCTGGGAGCGAGCCCGTTGGCCGGGCCGCTGTGGCAGGCAAGGCAGGAGCAGGGGCCGCCGGCCGTGGCGCCCAGTCCGTGCGCTGGGCCCGGGTACAGAGGCGGATGGCGGAAGGCGCACAGCAGTTCGGGCCGCGGGTAGGGCTGCGAGAGCACGCGGAACGTGTCAAGCGGGCGCAGGGGGCCGCTGAAGGGCGAGGCGGCGGCGGAGGCAGCGGATGCGGCGCCTAGACCCACGGGAGAGTAGTACGGCAGGGGCAGGTGCGATGGGAAGGGGTAGGGCAGACCGCCCGCGGCCGCAGCGTGGCTCATCATGTACGTATAGAAGGCGGGGTCAGCTGGGTGAGGCCACGTCATGGCCAGCCGCTGCCTCTTGTCCTTCATGCGCCGATTCTGGAACCACACCTGCGGAGAGGAACGGAGCAGGTTCGGCGGCTGGACCAGGCCCAGGGCCATCAGCCCAGAAAACCTGTCCCACTCTGGGGGACTAAGTCCACAGCTCAAAGAAGAGACAAAACAAACCAGCTGGGCCAGGCCGGGCCCATCACCACCACCTGAAGTTAGAGTCCTTTCTTAGTAAGGTCAGGGAGTGACTCCGGTCCCTGTCCCTCCTTCCCTCTGTCCACGTGGTCAGGACCCCCAAAGTGTCAGAATTGGCGTGGGTATGCAAGTAGGGAGAGGACTAGGACTCCATCCCCCTGAGGCGTCAGAAACGCATCCATTTCCATCCGTTTCGTTTGGGGCACTTCCTTGCCACTCGCACAGGTATCCCATCTCTGTGATCTATTTGGCTAGGAGAAGCACCGAATCAACCTCATGGCAGCAGAGTCTACAAAGGGACTGTCAGGATAAATCTGCGCTCACTAGCCTGGGAGATCCCAGGTCCAGATTTCAGGCGTGCGACTTAGGGAGTGGGCAATGGGTATTTCCTTCCCGCTAAATGGGTGCACACCCGCCTCGCGCGTCCTGACCGCGCATACCTTGATAGTGGTTTCTGGCAGGTTTAAGGCGGCTGCCAGCTCGCATCTCCTTGGCCTCGATACGTAGTTCTCCCGGTAGAATTCTTTCTCCAGCCGCGCAATCTGCTCCCGGGTGAAGGCGGTGCGGTAACGGCGCATCTGGTCACTGGCGCTGCAGGCCAGGGTGCTTTGCGAGCCGCCCCCACCCCCGCCGCCGGGACCGTTGCTCTTGGGGGCCTCGCTGCCGCTGTTCGGACTGCCGGCCAGTGCCTCGGAGCTGGGCCCTGCGCAGGGATCCCAGAGTACACACGTGTATACACAGAGACACAACAGACACACAAACGCTGCTGACGTGGGAATGTAAAGAGGCAAGTTGAAAACGGACACCCCCACCCCAGGCCACCTCAGTCACTGTCCCCGGTGGGATGGGGTGGGGGCACTCCAGGAGGGAGATCAGGGGCTTGCCATTGGGATAGCGAACATAGAGAGCTTTGGGAAGGCCTGGTCTGGCTGCTGTTTGGAAAGCCTGAGTCTGAGGCATGCTAGATACAGAGGCTCCCAGCCACCCTCACCACTCTGCCCCCTGGGCACAGGCAAGGTACATTCCCATTGGCAGGAGTGGGCAAAGGTGAGCACATCTGGCAGGCAAATGAGTTGAGATGCACCTCTGTGCTGGAATGTTGTGAACTCTGGGACTTGGTGCATTGTAGGATGCTGGGCATGCAGTTTCCTGGCTCTTGTGTGCCAGGATGCCAGAATAGGTGTGGAAATGTGTACCAGGCTGCATGTATTACAGATGTACTATGTTTGACTGGAACACAGGTTGTTTTGAGGGTATATTATAATATGGAGTCTGGGTTGATTAAATGATAAGAGGGGATGAGGTGGGGGTAGTTACTCAAGGTTGTTGCCTGCCAGGGCCAAGAAGTAGTATCTATCCTCCCAGGCTCTTCCTACCTATTCCCACAGCTTTGTGGAGAAGTGTCTGCTGATGGGCTCTCCCTCTCAGTTTTCTACCCATCTCAGGCCCAGGAATTGTTAGCACAGAGGGAGATTCCCTTCAGGGTCATCTGCCCCACACCCATTAGCCTTTAATGGGGAGGGGTTCTCCAGTTAAAGCATCCCCCTCTTTGGGCCTACCCCTGAGAAGGGTGGGGCTGCAGCCCCCTGCAGCTTCTTTTCCTTTAGGTGGAGAAGTGGGAGTAGGAAGGGAAGGCGAAGGGGGGAGGGCCCTATCCCTGCCTTTTCAAATGCAACCGGAGACCAAAGGCAATTAGACCATTGGGACCATTTCCGACCTGGCGCCGCCAAGCCCGGGAAGTGACAAGGTAATTTGGACCTCTGACCGACGTGCAAACTGGTCGGAGGGCTGCAGCACCCGGGCCGCCGGAGTCCGACGCTATTTTACGGTCCTTTATGGACTCCTGGCTTCCGCGCCTCGATGCGCCTTACACCCCGCCAGCCACAAACTCGCGTTTGATCTTGCTCTACCCGGGGAGAAGGTGTCTTCCCCAGTCAGTTGAAGCATTCCCACAAAATACTGGGGGTTGGGGTGCTCTTTGAATCCCCCAAGCCCAGGACTTGCGCCTCCCCCTCCCAAGGCACAGCTGTCACCCTCAGTCCCACCAATGCCAGAACATAGTAGGAGACCCCCTCCAGGGCGCAGATAGCAAGGAAGAGTTACTCAGGTGGGCCCCCCCCAGCCATCCTGCCCTGGGGGAAAGGAGTGTCTTCCTTCTGATCTGAGCCAGAGTGAAGGGTGGGCACAGTGGGAGGCCCGGGGAGCGGAGGGGCGCGGTGGCTACCTTTGCTGTGCTGGTACTCGGCGTTCCCGGTGGCGCAGTCCGGGGTGCAGCTCACCTCGATTTCTTCATAGAAATCCGACTCGGTGTCTGAGCTACTTGGTTGCCCCTGCCCAGAAAGGCTGTCGGCGGAGGGGGCCGGGGGTCCCGGACCAAGCATGGCCGCCCCAGCTGCCCGTGGCTCGGCGCCCAGCCCCGCCGCGCTGCCTGCTAGTCCATCGACCGGCTCCTCCTCAGGACCTGCCCCGCCGCGCTCCCGGGCCACCGGAGGGCCGGCTCGCGGGCTGAGGCAACCATGGGGCACCATCTTCTCAGATGGATCGGGTAGCGGGCTGCCCACGGCCTCGGACAAATTGGAGACCCTCTTGCCAACCAGAGTGCCAAGCTGACCCCCATCCAGAAACATAACCATGTCCTTTCGGTTCTCCATCCTGGGGCTCTCCGGAGCGGGGAGGGGGGAAGCCCCAAGTGAGCTCCTAACCCCCGGCTCCCAGGGACCCCAGCAGCCGGATAGATCTTGACTGAGAAAGGGAGCGAGAAGCCGGGCGAATGGACGAGCTCAGAGTGGTCGGAGAGTGATGTCGACGGCGACCGCGGAGGTGGCGGTGGGGAGCTAGGGTCACCTTGTGATGCGAGCGCTCCTCTGTGCCGCACAGCCTCTGGGAGGAAGCCCCATTGCCCTCTTCTTTCTAAGCTGTCATCCTCCTGCTGCAATCGTCATTACAGTACCGCTGGTGACGCCACTCTGCGAGCGCAAGTGGATAAATAGAAACGTCTGCCACAGGGAAGATGAAAGGAGACCCGCAGCTAATGGCTCAGCAGTGATGCGCCAGGTGTGGGCCTCGCTCGAATGGGGAGGAGAGTGTGAAAACAGACAGAGAGACACACACACTGAGAGGGAGACACCCAGGCAGAGGGGATGCAAATGGAATTCAGCAGAAAGAAAAAGAGCTTAAGGCGAGCAGGCAGTGTTCCGCAGAGGCAGCGGGACTCGATATTTGAATACGCTTTTGATTTTTTCTTTTATTGTTGTTTTAACTTTTGGTTTCTTAACTTGGTGCCCTGCTCTAACACTGATGAAAGAATCCATAACTGCATTTTGGAAGTGTGAAGGCCGGCTTACAAACCTCGACTCTCTCAGCATTATTACAACTGCTTATCCAGGCAGCTAACCTCAAACTGGCTCCCAAATCTTTTTACCAGCTACCGAAAAACATATCTCCCCACCCCCCAAGTCCCAAGTTGTCTGGAGTGCTTGAGCTGAGGTCTTCTTTGCTCCCCCTTCTTCCCCCACCCCCTTCTGTCTCCTTCCTCTTGGGAATCAAACTTTGTTATTTTTCTTTCCCAAAGGTCAAGAGATGAATATTTTATTTTTTTTTCTTTAAAGACCAGCATTAGCTGCTGAATCAAAGTGTTTGATTTTTTTAAACAAATTCTCCCTCCCCATCTAGATGACCTTATGCTTTCCACAGCCTGGCTTGACCTCAAGGCGGCTGTTCAGAGAAGAAATCGCCTTCCGTTTGATGGGGTCTCACCGGCACTGCAGGTATGTTGTGGGAGACGTTCTAAGAGTGGTCGTGTTTCTTTTCTTGACTGTATTTTAAGGCATTCGTTCTGAATCAACGAATTCTCCTGGAAACAGTTTTTTTTCCAGTGAAGAGGCTCTGGCAAATTGGGCCCTGCTTAGGCGGGAGGCTCCCAGCTGGGAGAAGGATCCCTTTCATTTGGGGATTTAAGGCAGGAACTGACACAGTACAGTGTGCTGCTTTGGGGTCAGCAGAGTTTGGATTCACAGGGTCCTTTCCAGGGGAAACCATCCCTGGCTTTAAAAGCTGAGGGTTGAAGAGAGGAAAGTCACTGAAAATGTTCTGAAAGAGCAAGTTGGGGACAGAAAACAACTGCCTTCAGAGGGAAGTGGGGGCAGGGTTATGGAATTTGATGTTTGGGGGAGGCTGCAGACTCCTAGGAAGGCAGAATAAAATCCCTTCAAACGGACTCCTTACCAACTCTTAGCAAATGTGGGGTCTGGCAGGTGGACTGGGTTTCTCTCCACTTTGCTGAGGACAGGAGGTGGGCACCTTCTGGGTTCAGCTCCTCTTTCTCTGTCCCACTCCCAGGAGCCAGTCCAACCCAGGCAGAAAGGGTGGCCCCTGCCCCTCTCTCCTTTTCCATGTCCTTGACAAAGCCCCAGCTTCTAAAGAAACATTTCTACTGATACTTTTTTAAAAATCTTCCTTTTCTCTCCTTTTTTGTTTTCTCTACTCCCCCTCAAACTTCTTATCCTTGGGGTAATAGAAGTGGTGGAAGAAGCAAGGGGTTTGAGGACAGACAAAAAATCTCTCCCTACTCCTGCTTTTCACTTCTTTCCCAATTCAATAAGACGTTCATTAACCTTGCCCGGGGATAGGGGCAGATGTAACTGGAAGTAGTGTCCACATAGATATCTCTACTCCCTAGGAGTCCCAAAGCCACCATCTGCTGAGCACTGCTAGCCCAGAAATCTGGGGAAATATTTCAGAGATCAAAGATGAGCAACTGGGAGTAGGAAACTGAAATTCCAAAACGTTTTGCTGCCATGGGGAGTCATCCATGGATTCTGTAATGCCCTGCCTTTCCCCACCAGCAGCCAGAACCTGAGGGAGCCCTGACTTGTTCTCTCCTCTGTCAAAGTCAAGATTCATGAGTGTCTGTCTTAGCGTTGCCTGGGTTGCCTACTCTCTGTGAGGCTTGAGACTGGGTAGCATCCAATCTCCTTCTCCTCATATCATGCCACTTTCTCATAGACACCTCACTACCCCCACTCCTTGGAGCTGATCCTCAGGAACTCCAGGCTCTGCTGCCCTGCCTCCAGCTTTGCATTCAATGGGAATGTTCTGTGTTTGATCCTCTTTTCCTCTGGATTTTCCCTGAAGATGAAAGCAGATGGGATGTGAGATCAAGGAATGCCACTTAGTCTCCTTCCTGGGTGGGCGGGTGGAGCAGGCTTCCCCTTGTATCCCCTGGAGAGGGCTAAAGGTGAAACCTCTACAGAGGGCCTGCCTCCTTTAAGCTCCAGATCCACAGCTTCAGCAATATCTCCCCTCCATCTGGACCCCCACCCATACCTTTCCAGACTTCAGCCCACCTTTTCAAAGCAGCCTCCATTTCTTCAGTCCTTAGGAGGTACTGAACACCTCGGGTTCATGAAGAAGAAAAAAAATCAAGCAAATGTCACTTGCAAAGCATCCTTTCATCAGTAGCAGGTGAAAAAAAAAGGTTGGATTTTAATGAGAAGATGAAAAAAAGGAGGGACTGGTAAAAACACTGCTTTTGGATTTTCTTGTGTGTATGGGGGTGCGCTTTAATACCCTCACTATTGTATCATGAAGGTTATTCACTGAACAGCCCAAGAAGGAAGGTAAATTCGGAGTGCCTGTGATGCCTCGGAAATCCCACCAAAGCCAAGAAGCAGGCGATTGCAGCCAAAGTGGGGTCCAGCCTACTCCCCTTCCCCCATCTCACTTCCCCCGCTGCCCGCGGGCCTGCAGTCCCTTCCCCCGCTGGGTGACAGGCTCGAGTCCAGCCGGCTCCTCTCAGATTGAAATTCTCTAGACTTCAAAAGTTCCCGGCTCGCTTCCGCTGGGGCTAGGCTGGGCAGGGGGTGTGCGAGAACCCCGGGAGGCGACTTGGAGATAAGATGCGCCGGTTGGTCGTTTTAAATGGAATTGGAAACCCAGCTTGGGCCACCAGACTTGCTGAACCGCTGAGATTGCTTCACTTCCCAAGAAAACCCGGCTCAGGAGAGCAGTGGCAGGGTTTGGGGTCTGACTCAGTGGTCCGAGGTCCTCTCGGGTTCCCTGAACACCTTTCCAGCCTGGAGTAGGGTGGCTCTGGGCAAGCACACACCTTGGCCAAAAGGAAGAAGAGGGAAGTCCTGGAACAGGAGCCAGGAGCTGGTTTGTCCACTTCGCGTCAGCAAAAATTTGATCAGGGGAAAAAAAAATGTTTTTGTTTCTCTCTTCCATAAAACGTCAGAACAAAGGGAGCTTCATCTTAAACAATAAGTGTTGCCCAGCTGTCATGGATATTTCTTTCTGTCCTAGGGTGCCTTCCAGGCTGTGGGCGAGGCCATTGCTTTCAATGTTCCCGTGGTCTGGGTCTCTGTAGCAGGGATAGACAGAGGCAGTGGTTCTGGTTCCCTTTTCACTGGCAGCTGCCAACGCCCCTTTGGGAGCCGACCACCACTGGTTGTACCCTTTAAGAAATACCCCTGGGAAAACACCCCCTTAGAGAGCAAAGTCACTGGATCTCAGATTCCAGAAGGTCAAGCTTCCACAGGAGGGGACAGCATAGCTGAACCACTCCTCCCACCCCTCCTACAATGGGCAGCAGAGGGAGTTGGTGGCAGTGTATGGTAGCAAAACACCACCCATTTCTCTTTCAGACAGGTGGAACCTGATGCTTCTGGAACTGTGGTTTGGACAAGCTCTCTCTTTCTTCTCTGCCTGCCCCTGGAAGAGCTGTGGGCTGGGCATCTGGGACAGGAAGCTGGATGCTTTCTGGCTCTCCCAGACCTGCTGCTCCTCAGGTCACCCAAGGCAGCCAGCCCTACCCTGCTTCTGCCTCTCTACACCTGTCTGCCTGGGCTCCTGAAGGCAGGATCCTGGCAGCTTCCTAGCCCTGATCTGTGGATGTCTGCCTGAGGGCTCTCACTCCTAGCCATCTGGAACAGGAAGACCCAGGCAGAATTGACAGCCAGCCAGCCAGGCTCCCCAAGCTGATGCTTGCCCCTCCCTCAAGCCAATGACTACATGGACCCAATGCAGCTCTTCTCATCCAAAAAGCAGTTTTCCAGCACCAGCACACAAAAGGCAGGGACAGCTTTCTTTACCATCATTGCAGGTGGTATGAGTTCTGCCTTCATTACTGTCCTGAAATGTGCTTTCATTACAAAGCACAGTGACACCCATTTCTCCTCTAATCTACATAGGTTCCTTTAAAAGACACAACAGTCCTTATCTCTCACAGTTGTGGGTGACCAGTCGTTCTTATTCAAATGGCCAGGGTCTGGCTGAGTGTCACCACCAGGCCTGATTGTTATTTGAAGGCCCCAGTCCTCCCCGGCCTTGAAAGATGCCTCAACCCCCAACAATCCCTTAACTCCATAGGCAACCCCACAAAGGCAACCTCCCAGCTCTGCTGGCTGGACCTGGTCAGTCCAAGGGCCTCTTAGTGTGTCTTGCCTGGACTCAAAAGTACTTAATGAATAGAAGGCTCAGGCAGGGCCCACACAGCTGGTCTAGTCTTCACACTGCCATCCAACACACACAGTCACAGTCACATACACATGCACACTTTCTCAGGAGGGCAAAAGAAAACCCACTGATAAGAGCAATCACTGTTCTAAGCATATCACATATATTCATCCTAACAGCAGACCCTGGGGGAAAT